TCAATCCATGTAGATATCGATCTATTATAATAATTACTTGAAAAATAATATTGTGTCACATGGATTGAGCAGTACATAATAGTTTTGTACTTTGTCCTCATCTCACGGTTTTGCTGCTGTTGCGATAAACAGATTGTGTTGTATGTTGAAGTGTCTAATTGCACACCATTCTGTACAAATATATATATACGTGTGTGTTTGTGTCTGTTTCCTACGGAATGACAGAGTGAGAGAGAAATATCCATATCTCTACGCTTTTAACTTAATAACGTTATCTTCACACACAAAGTCCAAAAATCCAATTTCTCATGTTCGTGGATTTAAAAAGGTAGCTTTCGCAACACAAACAGATTGGGCCTAGCTTTCTAAAACTCACGCGTAGTGTATTTATACAGCTATACCGATCACACGTAAGTTTTATTTTATTTAGTTCTCAAAGTTTAATATTTTTTGTTATCTAATTTCAACGGATACATTGACAAATGATTTTTATTCGGTATAATAAAATAGTTTGTTCTTAAATATTTTTTTACCAGGTGTAGGATTAAATTTTGCTTTTAGATCTTCTAAATCCTTCAACTTGTACACAAGTTATTTTTGAATGAATATTCTAGTAAAAATCTTAAAATAGTAAATGCAGTAATCATTTCACTAAAAGGAAAATCTGTAATAATTTACTATTGAAAACATAATGATATTTTTAAGTAATATGTATCCTTGAGCGAAAAAAAAAATGAGTTAACTCTTGGATATCGTTGGTTTGTTTATAAATGAAAATCTGAATGTGTCGGTAATTTGAGTCACATGTATTGTGTTGCAAAGACATTATTTATTCCGCTTTTACCATTTTTTCCTACTTCAAAATGTTATTGTAATAACATTGCAATTCCATTGTTGTTACTGTTTGAGTTTCAATTTCCTCTTAAGCGAAGAATTATTGTTGCTGCCGTCAATTAATGACAATAGAGCGGGGAATAATCATTCCTATGTTTTGTACAATGGATTTTTTTTAATTCATGATTATTTTTTACATTCTCCTTTGGCTGAGTAATTAACTTAAATGTTTATAAACGTAGCATTAAAATATTAGAATGTAATACAGGCGTCCCTGAATTTACGAGGTTTTTTTACGCGTAATTAGTAAATAAAAAAATTATCCGAAAAAATTATATTAATAATAAAAGTGAAGTAGAACTTCTAAATATTCCAAGCGATGAAGATAATAACAAGGAATGGTTGTATTAAATAGCGATAGTGACTCCGAATAAAGTTTACTTCTGTTTTCTGAAAAATCATTATTTTGTGCAATAAATATGTATTTCTAAAACTTGTAATAATTTTTATTTTTGTACTTACAGACTTTATTTATGCGTTTTTAATTGTCGTAAAAAAATACCATATCTGAAAATCGCATAAATTCAGGGACACCTGTATATTCAGATTATTATTTTATTCAGAGAAACTAATTTAGTTGATAAAAAGAAACACGTGCGTCGTGCCATTCCTTATCTATAGATTAGTATGTGATTTTTGAAACAATATTTCCAATGCAAATTATTGTAATGTTGTTAACTTAAATATTTAATAATTAAAGTTGGGAAAAGATTGATGACTAGTACAATGGTATTTATATATATATATATATATATATATATATATAGAACGGAGATTGTAGAGTAACAAGTTTTAACAACCACAAGCATTATTATTTTTTTTTACAAATTATATGTGATAGTTCAGATTCTGGCAGAATGTTTGTGAATGGCGTGTATCACATGATGCTTTAATGATAATAATGATATGTCGCTGTTACGCATACGCAAGGTCGCCTTCAATCAATGTTTCCCTGTCTCTTAAAAAAACATGCAATGAAATAAATGTAATGACATGGCATTTATAATAAGAGAGAAATGAAAAATAAAACTTTACCAGTAAAACTGGGAAGGGGAATGAATATCTAGTGATATTACGTGAGCGTGCAGGTGCTATCTATCATACGAAAGATATACTGGTTACATAATTGTCATATAATTAGTATGCTAATATTATTATTATTGAAATGAAATTAAGTGAAATAAAAATTGAATTGAAATTGTGATAGTATTACATTTATAGAGAGAACCCATAATTTGTATTTTCTTGTTCCATATGTAACCACTTCGTAGACTAATTTCATTCAGTTTCTATAAAAATGGTGCAATTTCGTACAATGTACTAAATATAAATTTGTTTAACCTACAATTTTATTGAAATTTTATTTCACTATCGAATAGTGATTGGAAATGTAATAAAAGAAATGTATAAAAAAATTGTATGAGGCCTTGAAAAATGAGACTATTGCAGATTGAATGCATATTAATGTAATTTCAAGATCAACAGATCTTAATTATATATAAGATGTAATTGGATATTTAATCACGTCCAGAAAGCAAGCGATAGTCACCAGCAGGCGGGTGGATGTAATTCGGTAAATGATTTTTGGACTTTGACTGGCTTGCGAGTCGTGCTATTTGCCAATAGATTGGATTGGTGTGGATACCAACAATTAAGTTGCGTGCCAACATAGCTGACTTTCTGTCAACTAATATTGTGTTTTCTTCATCTCAATTTGATTCACACAATTATATTTGCACTCTGTTTTGCGTCGCTGCTATTCAATCAGTGTTTTTTTTCAAAACATTTTGAAATTTCCCAGATTATTAAAACCGCTGATCAATTACGTATTGAACGTATTTGCGTTTCCTCGACGGACATGTGCATTAATTTCTACGCGTTCGAAATAGAAACCTTTAATGGATTTATATTCGGTGGATTTCCTCATTATTGTAACGAGATGTTCTTAATATATTTTCGCGCTTCAATGATCGTATTTGTTTTATCTTTTACATTGCCGTCCGGAGATATAATGAAATAAATGGACACGTCCTGCACTCTACTCGCTCCATCTGTGTTTTCAATTTGTGTTATGTGCAATTTAAAATATGAGGAAGGATAGGGACAAAAACACTTTATTTTTTTGTAATTTATAAAAGTTACAGAGTTGCCTACTGTATAATAAACATTTATTTTTTATATATATGCACAAATGAGAAATCTTCTGATACATTCAATCTATTAAATTACTCATAAATATTATTACTTTATAATAATATTGTAAATTAACACTTGAGTTTACATTATTAATAATAAGAATCCATAAATAAATGTTCACGAATAAAATCAACAGTTGGCCTCCATAAAAATCAGGATTTTTATTTTTAAATCTCTGCTTTTATTAGCCCAATTGATACTCATTTTGAAAATTTCCTGTAACTGCACGATCCATGACCTACTTATTCTATATATTGTTTTAAACTCGATTATTCAATTAAGTTTAACGTCTCTCAAATCAAGTAATCTAATTATTTGATGGTTATTTGTTCAACATTTTAATTTACAATTTGACTATTATGCGACTATTTGATATTATTTAGTAATCTATTAAACGTTTCTCATTATTATTAATTTGTTATCCTCATTTGGGTGAGCATAGTTAATTATCCAACAATAAAGCTTGTATTTTTTGTGTTTGTTTTGCTACTATGTCGCTTTTATTGAATGTTGTGTTTCTTCATTTTGCAGAAAATATAAAGAAATATCTGCAAAGATGTTTAACGATGAGAAAGCGTGAGTAAACAAAAATAGTTTGAATTGTATTTATTGTTTATTGCTGCTAATTTGTGTTCTTGTTTATGCATGCACATAAAGCTCTACTATTTCTGTTTTGTTTGCCTCTAAAATTTCATTGTACTCTTTATTTTCTGATTGATTTTATCTTTTACCTTATAATTATAGCTACTGCACTTCCTTTAATCTAACTGTTACAATTTGTAGTGATTATTATTAATATTTGTAGTGATTAGTTTATTGCAAATATTAATTCATTAGATTATATTAAGATCATTTATAAATAATAGTTTGTTGAAACTTTTTTTAAAGGCTTTATATTTAAAAATATTTAAAATTTCATTTTCATTAAATCTGAAAGGTTGTTAATCATGGATAAGAGTTGTTTTTATTTCCTTCATTTTTTAATATTTTGCATTAATTATGTTAATGAATATTTAAGATAAGAATTAAAATATCCCGGATTTTTTAATCCGATGTTTTTGTGCATGTAAGTCGTGGCAGTTGATCCGTTTTCTTCAATTCTATAGGAATTCAGAAATTATTTACATATCAGTGATCGATCAAACTACAAAAATTCGTTTGGATAAGATAAGTGTTTCGTAAGAGATAACGATGCACTTGAGTTGCATATTATATATTTTCAATAAGATCAATGTTCATTTTCAATGTACTATTATTTATTAATAAAAATTAGATTAAAAAATTACCAGATTTACTAGTCACTTTATATTAACCATTAATTAAAATAGTATCTTTTTATAAAATATTTTCTTAAAGTGTCTGTTGGTAGTATTCAAACAATGAAACATATTTATTTATAATTTATTTAAAAAGACTGAGTACAAACAGTTACAATATTGTATCTAGAAGTGAGCTGATCCATCATAAAATGATAAGTGTATCTGATTTGACATACAAATAAAATAATCTCTCATAAAAATAAGTATATCTACTAATATATTATACCTTTCAATTTTGAGATGAAAGTAATCGGCGTCACTTAGTTTTTGTAAGAAAATAATAATTGTGTTGTATGAACAGCATAAGCAAAAATCGTATTATAATTGATTTCGCACCATCGCAATAACGAATGCATCTTTTTATATTATTATAATTGTATAAACATGTTTAATTAGTCGTTATCTGCTTTGACCTATGGTAGGTTTGATAGCACTCTTTTTTTTCTTATCGTGCTATTATCAAAATCTTTGTACTCTGCTTCATCGATCTAATCGAATTCGATAAATATAAAACTCATAGGAAACACGTTATCACGTTCAGTTTTCGCCCGCACTTCGAACAGATAGCATTAGCTTGAAAGCACCATTTATACCAGTGTTGCACAAAAAACGAAGTTCAATATATATATATATATATATATACATAGTGGTGCAAAAGTTTCAATTATTGTAATTGGATTTTTAATCAAGGTTTGTGGCCCGTTTTAATATATTTATTTTTCTTAATTTGCGAAAGTTTACGAGATCTCAGAATGTGAAATTTATTTAAGAGTTTACCACTTCTACTGTCATAACAATTTTTTAAGTTTATCATTTTAAACTTAATATTTGAAACAGAATATATTTAAATCATTTTGAAAAAATACGTTTTCCAAATTATATATATTTTTGATAAAAAAATCTACTGAAAATTAGCATTTGCGAAAATATTAATGAAGGACATACATATTTTAAATGTCAATTAATATCAACACTTTAAAAGGAATATGAACGTCGATCACGAATTATATATAAGTATTATTTTTCTGACGCTCATACATAAATACTTTACTATTTATTTCGAAAATATCTATTAACTTATAATATAATTACTGTATAATTGTGCACGTCATTAGTTTAGCTATACTTTAGTTCTTCATCTAAATAATATGTCTATAGTTGTTCTCTTCTTTACGTATATTCAAATTTGTTTTAAATATTTTCAATGAACCGTAAATAATTAAAATATTGTTCTTTTTTGTAGCGATATGGATGGACTTGGGTTTACATTGGCGATCGGTGCCTTAAAGGCATTCGCGTTCGTCTATGATATCATTACATTCCCCGTCTACATTCTGTTCCAGAGGCCATGGAAAGTGCGGGCACTTTCCAGGAGATCGAAGGTCAGTAATAGAAGCATCCCCAAAAGTAACTTTACCATTTAATTTTAACAACAAATTGTTTGATTTTATTGTATCAACTCACGCTTTATTTATGCCTTATTATTTAATTTTAACGTTGTATTTTATTTTTAATAAACCACACATCTTACATAGCAACAATATCACAGCAATTAACAACATTAGAAGCAAAAAAATAGTCTAGTCAAAAAAAAGCAATTGTATAAATTCTTTTGTACAGTGGAACCTCGCTTAACGAGATTAATTAGTTTCGGATTATTACTCTTATAGTGAAATAATGCACATAATATATATACACAAGTTTTAGAAATGATGCTGCAGGCGCGCAATCCTGTACTTCTCATCGTCATTCGTTATGCGAAACGTCGCTCGTCGAGCGAGTGATTTTGGAAGTATTTTTAAATGTGTACAAACATTTTTTATGTTAAATAATGTAAACCTTCCTAACATTCTTTGTCTTTTCGTTAATTTGTTGAAAACGTCAAAAATATTTAAAAAATGCTGTATTTACTACACATTTGCACAAGAAAATAAGTTCATAAATATTCCATAGAATGAAGGTGGAGAAAATAATAATTTCGATGGTTTCCATTAGGTGCTCTTACTCAACACGCTACATAAGGCTGAATGACCATTTAGTAGGAATTACCAAGTGTAGATATAGATAGACTATGTTAATATTGACAGTTGCGAAAAGTTCAAAAGAATTTAAGAACTATATCAATAACACACATTCTGCACATTTTGAGTACCTTTCGGTATTAGCAAAGCTTGCAATAACTTATTATATAACATAAATATTTCAATATTGGTGACGCTTCAATCAAAAACATCTGGTTATCATTACATATGCAACACATAATTTGGTAAAAGAAGGCAATATATATATTTTTGGGGTTATAATTCCATTGTTACAATTAGGTCACGGGAATATCAAAAATCTGGTGGTCACATGCAAATCGAATCTCCCCTTATCATACACATTTTTCAACTCGAATCTTATTTCATTTGCTAAGTGATTTTTACATGAATCTGTCGGTGTTGGGATTTTAAGAAAGCGGGTCTTTCTTTTGCTCGCATATGTATATAATTTATTGTATACTATATGTGTTTAATTGACATGTTTTGTGATTAACTAGAGTATTTTTGTTTTTCGGTTACCCCTGCTCTCCCCACTGTTGCTGATGTAATTGGAATTTAACATTTTCCAACGAAATACACAAAATACATTAAAACACACGGTATTTGCTTGTTTCCCTTTTTGTGTACAGGCTGAGATTGTGGCAATAGAACGAGACCAGAAAAATACCGATTTTAGCATCGATGTAGAAGGAACGGATAAACCGCAAAAATCGAAATCTAAAGCAAAGGTATTAAATACCACACAGAATATATTTTAATTTGATAAATGACCAAAAGAATACGAAAAGACACATGTAAGACATTATGAAAAAGATTGACGGGATACATTTTTGCATATATTATTATTAGTGGGTCATGGGCTTCTTGTTGTATACAATTTTCGGTTAATAACACTTAAATATCAAGAAAAAGAAACACTTGCGCCATATTTTCTATGTTACTAATAAATAATTAACTAATATTAAATGCTAATATTGCATGCTTACTAGATTAGTAGTAGATTGTAGTTATGTACTATTCTAAATATTTTATTAATTATGTGACTAAAACTAATACTATTTGCTTGTATGCGATATAACAATTAGTAACTAATTTCGGATTTGTGATTAATTAAGTATTTTTAATTAAGTTATACATGTTTGATCATAGTTAATAGAACGATTTTATCTAGGCCATCGAAATTTCGAAAGACACACGAAGCATAACGTGGAAGTCTCGCGATGAACCGCAGAAAATTCACGTGGAGATTGTTCGGGAGAACATTAACACAATGGCTAGGATGATGGAACATGTTGCTAAGAAATATGCAAATAAGAGATGTTTGGGTACCAGAGAAATTAAAGGGGAAGAAGATGAGGTTCAGCCTAACGGAAGAGTTTTCAAAAAGGTAAAATCTACATGAAACGGCAATCAAAAGTTAATTTGAATTTTTTTTAGTACAATATGGGTAATTACACATGGAAGACGTATGCCGAAGTGAACGTATTGGCCACGAACTTTGGAAGGGGTGTCCGTGAATTGGGAAATATGCCAAGAGAAAATGTCGTCATTTTTGCGGAGACTAGGGCTGAGTGGATGATCGCTGCCCATGGGCTATTTAAGCAGAGTATTCCAGTGGTCACGATATACGCCACTCTCGGCGATGAGGCCATCGCCCATGGAATTAACGAAACCGGTGTCACAACTGTCGTAACCAGTTACGATCTCATGCCTAAATTCAAGAAAATCTTGGCAATGACTCCAAAGGTCAAAACCCTCATCTACATGGAAGATCAATTAAAGAGCCTTGACAACAACGGATATGGCGAACAAGTCACGATTCACAAATTCTCTGAAGTCCTGAAATTGGGATCCACCTCACAGTTAGGAAACACCATGCCATCGCCAGATGATGTTGCTATTATCATGTATACCAGTGGCTCCACAGGCGTTCCGAAAGGCGTCATCCTCGTGCATAACAACTTAATTGCGACCATGAAAGCCTTCTGTGATAATACGGTCATCTATGATGATGATTGTCTAATTGGATTCTTACCTCTCGCTCACGTCTTTGAACTCTTGGTAGAAAGCGTTTGCTTGTGCGCCGGCGTTTCCATCGGATATTCAAGTGCACTCACCATGATTGATACGTCCAGCAAAATAAAAAAGGGTACCAAAGGCGATGCTTCAGTTCTCAAACCTAGTGTGATGACTGCCGTTCCGGTAAGTTTTAACATACAAATAATATGTATACATTATTAAATAGTCCACTTTATTTGCAGTTGATCTTAGACAGGATTTCTAAAGGTATCCAAGAAAAAGTAGGCAAGAGCAACCACTTTTCCAAAGTTTTGTTCAATTTTGCTTTAGAATACAAACAAACATGGACGCGTAGAGGATATTGTACACCACTTTTAGACAAGTAATTTGTTATAATTTCTTTGTAAAATAGACTTGAGTCTTACTTTTGTATATATTTTAGAATTGTCTTCAGCAAAGTTCGACAACTATTAGGCGGAAGGGTAAGGTATGTGCTCAGTGGTGGTGCACCACTTTCGCCAGACACACATGAACAAATACAGTTATGTCTTTGCGTCAAAGTCGTCCAAGGTTATGGTTTAACTGAAACTACATCCTGTGCAACTATCATGGACGGTAAGGTAGAATTCTATTAGCAAATATATATTTCTCATTTACTATTTTCATCAGCTCATGATATGATTTGCGGACGCGTCGGTCACCCAACAACTTCTTGTCGCATTCGAATGGTCAACTGGGAAGAAGGAAATTATCGTGTGACAGACAAACCTTATCCTCGTGGAGAAGTCATTGTCGGTGGGGCCAACATCAGTGCAGGCTATTACAAACTTCCCGGAAAAACGAACGAAGACTTCTTTGAAGAAGATGGTATGAGATGGTTCAAGACAGGAGATATTGCTGAAGTGCAAGAAGACGGTGTCGTGAAAATTATTGATCGTAAGAAGGATTTGGTAAAATTACAAGCCGGCGAATACGTATCTCTAGGCAAAGTCGAGTCTGAATTGAAGACTTGTGCAATCATCGATAACATCTGTGTGTACGGAGACTCAAGCAAGCAATATTGTGTTGCCTTGGTCGTTCCGAACCAATCCATGCTTGTCGACTTAGCGGCGAAACGTGGAATCTCAGAGAAGAGCTTCGAGGATTTGTGCGCAATTGCTGATATGGAGAAAGCTGTGCTTCAAGAGCTTGCTGAACACGGAAAGAAATGTAAATGAATGGCACATAATTTTATGTTTATCATTATTAATGTATATGTTTTAATAGGTAAATTGGAGAAATTCGAAATCCCCGCCCAGGTGAAACTCGTAACAGAAGTTTGGTCACCAGATATGGGTCTCGTGACTGCTGCTTTCAAATTGAAGAGGAAAGACATCCAAGAACGTTACCAGCACGAAATAAACAGAATGTACGCTTCCTGAAAGTGGGACAAACTTTAGAGTTTAGTTGTGATAATATTCCATAGACTACTCTACTACTATATATACATGCATTTCCGTTAAGTTCTTCATTTTCTAAAATTATACTTCATTAATTGTCTTTCGGGAATAAGGAAAGATAAACAAAAGTAAGTTCAAGTGAGTGTGCATACACGAATCTTATTTATATATTTACTTATCCATATTATTGCTACTACGTCTTTTTAATATACAGGTTTTTATTAATTTTAATAATTATTGTTATTTATTATTATTTTGCTCTGTCAGTAATTTGTAAATGGAAATACTTAATTATTTCGCAATTATAATAGTACGAGTTTCGAAGCTTAAGTATTTTTTTAATTGTTACTATTGTTTAAGATATTGAAAGATTGAGACTGTACATGTATATATTTATATTATATAATTATAAATTGAAACAAAATGAATTCTTAAAGGAGAACTTAGGCGCGGGCTAAAATAAATTATTATATATAGAGAGTTCATTCTAAAATTTAAAGATAACTCTAAATTTTGGAATGCAACTGCCTTAAACAAATCAATTAATATATTGATTATATTGTCCTTACTGTGTATGCAAGTACTGAGCGATTATGTGAGTGTGTAAATATGAAAAATTGTACTTTTTTTCGTATCTTTTTAAATATGTATTATTTTGTTTTTGATGTGCAACAAAGCGTAACGTTGTCAGAAGAACGAAGAACCTGAAATGGAATTACATCACTTCTTATTTATTCTTTGTTGATTAGGTGAATAATAATAATATTTTATTTTGAACGTATAAAAGATTGTGAAGTGGTTTGCGTCTGCATACATGTGTGTATTATAAAAAAATGTTTATATTATAAATAAATGAATGAAAGGTGAAAGAAAATACGGTTTCGTTTTATTTATTGTCTAGATGTATTAAACTTTTTCTTTATTATAGGCTCCATTTTGGGGCTATCGATCTAGGAAACGCTTCTGCCATTATTTTTTAAAAGAAATAAATTTTTAAATCAAATATTTTTAATATAATTTTTTAGAAAATTGCTACATGCTCTCTGCTTAATCTTACTACCTTTGTCGTACAAGGAAGGATCTGCACATATTCTTGGTTACAGCCTATTTAGTTAGTTTTTTGCATAATTAATAATATTGGAACGAAGTTATAGATTTACGATCTCAGTTCCTTGTGTTTGTTTTTGACTATTCATTGCAATGACTCATATTTTATACCGATATTTGTTTGTAATTTTCTGTATAAATTTCCCGGTATTATTTATTTGCTGGTCATAAATATATTTCTATTTAATGTAAAAAGCAATAGTCTGTGTCACTGAGATCATTTGCTTTATTTTTGTACCAAAACATATATATATTGAGGTATTATATATGTCGGAGTATCTACAACACCTGACCAACACCTGACAACACCAACAGCACCTGACCAAACATCGTAGTCCACACATGGCAGAGATACAAAGAGTCATTGTTTCCACGATGGAGCGTGTAAACAACAGTTCTGCCAAATAACATTGTCAGCACTTGGGAGAACAAAGACGGATACGTGTGCATGATCGGGGCAGCACATCTTCGGGGTCTTTTGGGAAGAAGGGTATTTCCCCCGGAGGAGTGGGAGTGGAATACGTCAGCGGGAATGGAGTCATTCGGTTTCAGATTCAGGAAGGCCACAGTAGCTGAGACTTATCGCTGATGTAGATCACTAGCTCTGAGATTGCAGAAGTATTAGTTTACTAAGTTTATTAACTATTGTTAGTGGTTATTTGTAATTATGGCTTCTCCAAACGCCTCACTAGGGGAGTAATCCTGACGATTCGACATATGTGTTAAGTAACATTTACAGATGATCTGACAATTATATTTTCAGATGAGAATTCAATAAATTATAATCAAGTTATACAATTTGTTAAACTGATTACTGAAAATGAAATCATAATTATAGTGAAAGCAAATAAGATTTTGGAGATGCTCGTATATATGTTTATTAGAGTAGATCATGGCTTGTTACAATACAGATTGATACATAGGATATATATGTTACAAAGGTTTCTTACGTAATAATGAGTCCGAGGCCCGAGGGCCAACACAGAGAATACACACGTGATAATACAGAGAAACTTACATGTTATTAAGATACAAGAGTAGCGGAAGCGAAGACGGAAGTAAGAGAAGAGAGCGGATACAGATTTGTCGCCGCTTATATACCCTAACCAGGTAGAGCCCTTATCGGACCTTCCTGGAATACCAGCTGAGGGCTGGAGTGGGGCGCACCGTAACGGGCTTGTAGGTGACGTCATATTAGCGGGCTGGAGTGAGCACCACAAGATAATAATTATAAGATTAATTGCATAATTAATATAAAGATTAAAGTTGAAATTGCAACTAAAGATTATTTACCTCAACTAGCGAAAATTATAGAAGATTTAGATGAATTGCTATTTCATAAAACAATTGAGGATGATGGAATAAAAGAGGTTGTCTCCGCTCACTACAAGTTTAATAATAAAAGGGTTTCAACCAGGCAGGAAATTCGAAAACAATATATTTACCTTGTTCAAAATTCGTATATTATGTATCTATGAACACCATTTTTTTAATTATTTTTGGCATGTATGTTTTGATGTTAATAAAATAATAAGTATATTCATTGAATGTGTTACATTTTTGATCTAGTAACAACCTGAAATGTAAACAATTTTAAATATAATACTTTCTGTTATGAAACCAAAGTTTTTCAGAAGTTTATGTTTGGTTATAAGTTTTGTTAATATAAATTGGGCTAGTTAGTCTTTCAATTCTGGGTTTGCTGCAACATTATTTATGTTTACTCCTCCCATTCACAGCTTATTAAATAATACTACTTCTCCAGTAAGCTGAACGATTGCATGGAATTAATGTTATTCTCTGTTTTCGGATTTAAACAATTCGAACTATATATTTATTTATTAAACATATATAGTAAATATTAAAATTTTCTAAAACTCTTTATTTTTACCAAACATCCACAATAAATTCAAAATGTACATACCGTATTTTAATTATATAAACGAAACACAAAATGATTCTAAAATGCGTATATTTTGCTTCTTAAATTTCGTATTAACGATAAACAAATTAGATATTTATTATCATTCATATAAATATAAAATAATTGAAACACTTGGTAACTTATGTATTTAGTGATTAAATTATATAGACAATGAAAAATACACATATCATATGTTGATTTTATATTGCTATTTTTACATTGAAATGTATTAAAATATTTAAAAATTATCACATATATTTATAGCACATAGAATTTGTAACACTAAATTAGTAAAAGATTGTGTTTGTTTTTTATGGTAGTATTTTTAATTTAATAATATATAGATATTTTTTGCATACAAATATGTTTGTATGGTCTGTAGTGCAATTATTCAAATTTGCAAGTGTGCAAGTACTAACTAACATTACTATTTAAATGTTTTCAAAATTTAGCTATTTCTTACTTTAAAATAAACTATATGTATGTTGGGTTGCATTCAAATTTAAAGAAATCACCCAGCAATATTTAAGAACAATCTGTAAGGAGCAAACACATAGGGAGCAAAATATAAATAGATTGCATGATAACTGTGTGTTTTTTAAGTGATAACATAATTTTAAAATTCTTTTACTCAATTAAATTGTACAGCTATTACTTTATCAGGTATCAATGTTAGATATTGAGTGAATGAATAATGTTTATGTGAATAGAGTGGAGTGTTTTGAATAGGATGCTTCTGAACTTGGACAAATTCAAAACAATAACAATACATTCAAAACATATGAGGATTTTGATTGATGTGCTGTTTATGAATGAACGGGATTGATCTGCTTCGCTTTCTTTAGTTAGGACGGGAATTTTGCTCAAAAACAAGCCAACAAAAAACAAACACGTGTTTATAGATACTTCATTTTTTGAACTTCGTTTTTTTCTTCTTCGTCTTTTTCAAAGTGAGGGCACAATTTACGTCACAATAAACACGAGGACATAAGATTTATATTTATTCTGTAAATCATGAGTGAGAATGTGAATGTGCGAGGAAATTCATGTTTATTGCTATTATTCCTGCTTGAAGCCGCCGTTCGCCTGGGCGGCTTCAACTTGTTCAGTCTGCCTTCGACTGATTTGCCAATAGACCACTAATCGGCCTGATAACATAAAGAGGAATACTAGGGCCGGGGCAGTTCGTTCCAGTTTATCCGCCACCATATAATGCGAATACACTGCCATCAATGTCAATAAGAGAAGGCATACGTTGGCGCAGTTTCTCACTTTATCTGCAAAAGAGAAGAAAAAAAATGAAATTAAATCAAATGTAAAAGCAAATTACATGAAAACGTATGCAAGTTGCACTCGGCAGTGGGAAGAATGTTGCAAGCAATGGAAATCTGGGATGGATGCGGTTGGCACTTTTAAAATTAGCAATTACTTTGACCGTAACCCACATAAATTTGATTCAATGTTAATTTTATTTATATCCCGCTCGTACAGAAACCCACAACATGATGCGTATACAAACAGAATTGCTGATTATTTCTGCTCTCAACAACTGACCAATTCATTTCTCATACTAGAAATTAATTAACCAATTCATTTATTAATGTTATATTTAAAATATGTAATTTAGAAACAATATAGTTCAAACTAATTAGTTTGATTCGGTATATTAATTATATAAGGATCTCTTTGAATATAATCTTTTAACAAATTATTTAATTAAGAATTTAATTATATATCATGCTTATATCGAATAGATATCTTAATTCATAATATTAGATTCAGAAGAAATTTGTTATTGATAATAATAGTAATTTCTATTATATACAAAATGAAAGCATATAATTCTTCGTAACAATAAACTGAAGTTATTCATTCATATTAACGTTTTTCTACGAAGAAGTAATAATTTTTAGTGAGATAATTTGTAGTAAATAATATACTTTCGAGTTAGTTGAATCCAATAAATGCACTCGTTATAGCGATAAACAGTGTTTTGTTTTGTTTTTAACGATGTTGAACAAATAAAATTATGTTTGTGAAGTCGCATTATTTGAAGCTGTGAGCGTATCGCAGACTGAAAATAATTATGCTTAATGTGCGTTTCGTAATGCGTTTGAAAATTTCATATGTAAAATTATATTTTGCAACGAGATAAAAGGAATGCGCATAACTTTTTATTGTTGCGTTCCTTTAATTGCATTAAATAAATGGACATGATTTCGATATCTACTTACGATTTGGAATAAAAGCCATCGCGAGGCCGCAGATAATCTCCAGCGTCCCAACAGTCCGTCTGTACCATTTGCTTGGTACCTTGAAATCCAGCATCTCAGAGAATGGAAACACCTTCGCATACTTCACGTACTCCTTCCGCTTTGTGGATGAAAACGATAATCCAGGCACGAGCATATAAGAAAACAATAGATAATTACATTATCACATATGTTATACTTTTTTGTATATATAATTTATTTTTCTGTTGCGGACGTGTTTCGGTCCAAAATCGAAAAGACAAAAAATATTTCGCATTTCGGCATAACGCCAAAATTCTAAAATATTCCGTTGTGTAATATGATTGCTCACCAAATCCTTGTGCAGATCCTTGGACACGTAGCTAGATAGCTTGATGAAGCCTACGAAGATGAAGAACAGCCCAAGCAATACAGATAGCGACTTCAGAACGATCGAACCCATTTCGATTTGCGTTCACTTCCGGCCACAGATTGATGCAATGGAAAAAAGGTGGATCAACTTAAAACTGCAAACTATTTTTATTTCGTTTTGATTTTGTTGTTAGTGTGCTATCGCTTGTAGATCACTCGATCACAACATTACAGGTCGTGTTTTTTGTTTGTTTGTTTGTGTTTTGGTTAAATTTTGTTTGGTTCGTCGGATCGGCGGCACAATGTTCTGGCCATCGTGAATTCGTGTGACGCTCTGACGAAAATCAATAGACATAGCCAGAGCGTCGCGACGCCACTGCCTCCCTCACACACATACACACACAAACATATATATTCACGTATATTATTTGCGACGACGCTGCTGCTACTGTTTCTCCTGATGTTCGGACGCAATCATGTCAAGGATCGATTTATATATATATATCGTTTCCTAAATATCATAAGTTAAACAATAACTCACCTTTATTCGATTCCTTTAATCAATTTCTACTGTTATTATTTTATTTATACGTAATATTTTACGAATAAGAGTTATGTCTATAAATCTATAAATTATCAATAAGTTTAAATTACGATTCATCATGCAAAATACTGTCATTATTGACTCAATTATTATATCCCGATTAACGCATATTCTCTATATTTTTTTAACAGTTTTAAGTTCAAAAGATGTTGTCACAATGCATTGAAGTAACTTTGGCTATTATGTTTTTTTTTCTGAAATTGATTAGATAGTAAATATGGCATAGATGTGTAGATATATTATTTATAACTTTATATATTATAAGTAATATCATGATTTCAATAGATAGCGACAACTTTATTGTCATGAAATGCATATTTTTTGTTATCTCTAGAAGCAAATTTAAAATATTTAAGAAAATGAAATAGATCGCAATTTTAAACATTCTTTCATAGAACGTAAATTTATTATTTTAAAATTTATTTTGTTGAAAATGTTAGTCATATCTGCTATAGAAGACAATTATTACAAATGGTAGCCAAATGCTTCAAAGACGGATATACTATTTTTACAATATCACGTTAAAAATGCTTTTACGATTGTTCTATCAAATTATACTACTAAAATTCGAAACTATTAATATGCGTTACAACTATTTCAGTTAAGACGTTTTATACAATCAGGCGATTTTTATAAAAAAAATTGAATGATCAAAAATTAAATTATTACAATGCTGAAAATGTTAATTCGTTTATATTGAAATCGAATTTTTTGTTTTTGCATTTATTTATAAATGATACGATTATGTATTTAAAAAGATAGTAAGAAATAAAATAAAAAATATTTACAAATAACTGTTCATAATTGAAATTAAAACAGCAATAATTGGAACGAAATAATTTTAAATATTTCATAAACAATACTATCATGTACTTGATGTATTTTATATTTAAACATGTAATATTAAACTTATTAAAAAAGAAACCTATAAAATTCATGGACAAAATGGAGATTTGTGAAAGTGTCTAGGTTCTGGCTTCGTATCAATGAAACTTCCTAACAAATACATATATTTAAGTATGTAAATACGCTTACCGAATCAATCGATGATTTTCTATATACATTCACGATTCTGTTGTGCATATGATCTCTTTATTCACAAGTATATTTTTATTCATACATACGTACACTTTGCAGTCAGATCCTAACGTTATTTCGATTCGATTTAAACGACTTTTATTTGTGTAAATATGCAATACAGAGAATGGTAATTGTTAAGGGGTGGCGTATATGTGAGCTTGTCGCTCATTTAGCCAGAAACGTTATTTCTGTCAGACCGTACTTTTATTTTTCCTAAGACTTGTTTTATCAAAAACACTATGACTTGAAAAGTTATATGAATATTGATTAATATACACTACAGAAAGTATTTTAATTGAGCACTTTAAAGTGAAGAACTGGATGGTTCACTATAATTACTCAATTTCAATAACTTAATTAATAATAAACGTCTTTTACTAAACATAGTATAATAGACTAAACTGTATAATTATGATATAAAAATAATTATGCATTATTTTATTTTTAATTAATATGCCATAATAGATATGAAGTAAAAATGAATGTAACCTTTATATTACATGGTACTATTAACTTTGTTTGACGAACTGATTATAAAAATTATAAACAATGATTTAGGAACTCTTACAGCGCTGTTTGATGTTTATATTTTGGCCATGTGTGTTTATTTTAAGAGAGATATAATCATTAAACACCTATTTATTTTCCACCGAGAAATCATTAAATATAGCTTTTGGTAATTCTGGCTATATTGATTTTATCTTAGTGTTCATTATTAGTAGTATATGTATTTAGTAGAAGATTTACCTACTAATTATACATAGTCTTTCCAATAATTATATGCATTCATAAATAATAAATGCAAAAATTTATTTACAAATGAAAGATTTATTTATATAACAAATATTAATTATTTTATCAATTAACATAACAAATTAAATTATATTTGTGAAAATGTGCCGCCCTGTGCAAATGCCCATGTTTGTGTAGTTGGTTTGTGTAGCGCCGGTCCAAATTACAAATAATAAGTGGAGATTTGTTATTCAATATTTGTGCTGTGTTATTTACATTTTATCATTTAATGATAATTTAGATAATACCAAATTATTACATATCGGCAAATTTATATAATATTTATCAATGTAAATATTTACTGATGTCGGCAGAATTATACAAGTCTAGTACTATGGAAATGTAATTACGTTTTCAAACAAAAATAAAATAGTGGTGCCAGTCGCTAAGGAAGGTAAAGGCAATTATCTCGCCGTCTACAAATATGCAAAATGCATAACTTTTGCTTACATATTCAGAATGTGTTGATTATCCAGCATACTGAACTGGAGGGAAATGAGTCATGCAAGTGATTATTTTCATTAGCTAATACAAATAGAACCTATATAAACAGTTATAATCGCACTGAATTACATTTCCAGTGTCTTTTTTTTTGGTATCTTTACCTCTTTTGTATTTTCTATTTAATTTCGTTTTATAAGCTTTAAGCCAATAATAAAAATAAACGGCCGGAATTTTGGAGTCCTGCCAAAGCGGGAAATAATGTATGCGGACTTTCTGCAATTGGCAATACAATTGTACAGTACGACAAATAATAAAATAGTAAGCATCTTCATGTTTAATTTGAGTATTTTTTTTATTTACTTAAATAAAATCCACAAATAATTCTAGTAATGAAATTATTGCATTTAGGAGTTTCTTTTCCCTAAATGTTTGTAAATCAAATAATGTTGGAAATGAATAACAATATTACCATACATAACTTTCTGGTGTAATCGAAGAATTAACAATCTATTGAAACAAATTGGTACTGATTTATATCATGAGATAATCTTTTATTTTCTTGTCAGAATATATACAATAATGTTGTTTATTGCATTATTGGTATTTGATGGATGAAATTGTTGTTGAGTTGAAAATATTCTAAAAAGTTTCCATAGTCAACATTTACAATAAATATTCCTATACTATTTCTCGATTCTTGCAATTAAATTTCACAATAGAAGATGTAAAAAATAATGAACAATTCCCATTTATTTTTGATACAGAATATTTTAATACTTGATAATGTATTCAGTATTTTATCAGGCCTTTAATAAACAAACAACAATTATCAGTCTCACTAAAGATAGACAGGGAAAAAAACTTGGATAATTAATTCACTGATATTAAAATTATAGTTTATTTCAACCTTGGGTTTGATAAAACTGACTACCAGAGAAATATGAAATAAAAAAAAATAATGTAATAAAAGTCATATAATATCAAAATCGGGATGAAATCCAATATTACGCAATTTGATTTGTTTATATGCCATTATTTAAATGTACATAATACATTTTTATTAATTAATTACTAAAATCCAATTCAAATATATTTTTAAAATAACTGTACTAAAATTTTATATTGAATGCGAAATAAGTTTGAAATCAGTTTTCAAAAAAAATATGTAACAACATAAATTTTATATACAATATGCACAAATATTTTTCATATTTTGCACATAAAAAATATGTATGAACAAGGTTTTATTTAAATTAATAAATAATTAACATTTCATGATATAAAACCAGTATTTGAAACATGTTATTTATAATAATTAATGTTAAGACCAAATGATTGTAAATTTTGTTTCGTCCGTGTCATTAATAATTGTTTCGTCTTTTCAAATTACAAGTAAAATTGTCATCAGCTCAATTTTGACAAGTGCAGTTGATTAAAGTTCGATGTTATTATGTGTTTGGTAGCGTCCTCGGTGTATACATAGCAAATATTGTTGGACCGTAAACAAGAAACGAAAACCGATAAAGATAATATGAGGCAATTTATATAAATCGTGTGCAGAGCGAATCGTCGTGCAGATAAAGCAGCCGCCAGGGTCGAAGCGGAAGAGCAATGCGAAGAAAGCATCACTGAGTCTCCGAAATCCTGAAAACCGAGCCATCACCATGATCGAGGAGAGCCTGAGATCCAGAAACAAGAGGATCAGAGCCCCGGATGGTGGATGGGGTTGGGTAGTCGTCTTTGGATCCTTCATGATTCACGTAATCAGTAAGTGTGGAATATCTCCAGATAGTATTTATAAACTCGTACAGACAATAATAACCGTAACAAAAAGATAAATCTAGATTAAACTACTTTTAGCTGACGGCGTAACATATTCCTTTGGAATTTTCTACGACGAATTCCTCACATATTTCAATGAAGGAAAAGGTCCCACATCATGGATACTTTCAATATTAGTTGGTGTCACCCTTTGCTCAGGTATGCTATAATTTTAAATTTATACTATTACGATTGACTAACAAATATTTATTTATATATTCAGGTCCAATTTCGGGATGGATGGTAAACCGTTGGGGATGCAGAACAGTAACCATAGTCGGTTCTATATTAGCTAGCATATGTATGATGATTAGCATTTGGGCGAACAGTATTATCATCCTCTATTTCACAATTGGCATCGGCGCGGGATTGGGATTTGGTTTAATATATTTGCCAGCGATTGTAAGTGTTTCAACTTACTTTGAAAGCAAAAGGAGTCTGGCCACCGGCATTGCCGTCTGCGGAAGTGGCTTCGGGACGTTCATCTTCGCTCCTTTAATAACTATATTACTCGAGGCTTACGGATGGAGAGGTGCCATGCTAATAATAGCGGCCATCGTCTTGACGTGCACCGTGTTTGGCATTTTGTTCAAACCATTGAAAGCAACGGAAATCCTGTCAGAAAACGATGTTATTATATTGAAATCAGCGAACGGTGATACTAGCTTGAATATAAGCTCGAGCTTCAGCAATTGCTATTTGGCATCGTCCAGTGGCAATACGATGCAAAGGGCTTGGAGCTCTGGCGATATCAATGATAAATTAACGAAGTACGGTACGATCGGAAATGAAATTTTCATTAGTTCCACAAAATCCGAAGGGTATACGAATAAACGATTTCCAAATCTTGCCGCACGGCCAGATCTGATCTACCAAGGAAGTCTATATAACATCCCTTTGCTCGCAACAAGTACGAAATCCATTGAAGAATCCAAAGACAGTGGTATTAGAGACATGCTGAATTTGAATCTTTTGAAAGATCCGATATTCATCGTATTCTCAATAAGTAATTTCTTGACAAGTATTGGATTTAATGTTCCATACGTTTACATAGTTTCAAGAGCAAAGAGCATGGGAATTAGCAGCCAACAAGCTGGTTTAATTTTAGCCGTAATCGGAATTGCTAACACAATCGGAAGAATCATTTTGGGTTACTTTTCTGATAAAGTTTGGGTCAACAGGCTCATCGTCTATAATGTTTGCCTCACTATTTGCGGTATTGGTAAGTCGACCATTAACTTCACTAGATAATTCAATAGATAATAACAATTTAATTTGCAGCTACTGCTCTCAGCTGCTTTTGTTTTGATTTCTACTCACTGGCGTTCTACGGGTCTGTTTTCGGCTTCACAATTGGAGCATACGTTGGCCTAACGTCGGTTATCCTGGTTGATCTTTTAGGATTGGATAACTTGACAAACGCCTTCGGTCTTTTGCTATTATTCCAAGGAATCGCCTCGCTGATCGGACCACCAATAGCAGGTAAATAATATTTGTAATAAATGACAAATACAATTATTTTTAAACAATCAATTTTTAATAGGTTGGCTCTACGATTACGTGAATTCGTATGATCCGGGATTTTATGTAGCTGGAGTTACAATTGCTTTAAGTGGTATCATCTTATTTATTATACCCTGTTTACAAAAATCACTGGAGAAAAAGAAGCATGACCAGAGGGAGTATCTACTGTAGATTAACATCAATTTAAGTATTACTTACTTAGATATTTATTACCAAATAATGTATAGAACATAAATATAGATATTTTAATAAAAACAGGACAACTCAATATGTAATATTTTTATGTATTTTTTTTGAATATATAACGTCTCCTGCTCCTAACAACTTTGCTGGTACTAATAATTATCATTGAATTCTTATTTTCTGTTTTTATCTCCTCTTTTACTTGTACAGGTTCAAGCGTACTTACATTGGTAATCAAATTATCACTTATGCTTATTTCATTATCATTTTCAGATTTGATTTCAACATTATCCTTTGACGTTTCCATCTCTTTTTTCTCCAATTCATTTTTCTTCTCATCTTGATCCTTTTCTTTCATTTCATCTTCCAATATATTATTCCTCTGTTCATCTGTTTCCATATCTTCAGTTTTCAATTCAACCAACAAAGATTGATTGTTGCTTTTTGAAGAAACATTGCTTTCAGCAATAGCCTTCTGCTCTTTATCAATATTATCTTTAGACAAAATGTCTGTATTGTGTGGAGCATATTTAACTTGAGAATTCTCACCAACAAAGGTAATGTTATTCTCCATTGTAATTCTCATTCTCCGTTTCCTAGGATATTTTGTAACATAACTATATCTGGGTAATTCACACTGGATTATTTTTTCAGGCTCATTGCCCATTTTGTAAACCAATTCAACCTCATCAATCCCTTCTTTAGACTTGGAATGATTCTCTGTATCTCCTTGCTGGTCATGACTTTCAATTTCTAGATTTGTTTCTACCTTACATTGAATTAATTTATTGCCATTAAATAAATGCATTTTATTATTTTCATGCTCAAGATTATTCTCATCCTGAATTTGGATGTTTTCTGTTTCTTGATTAGAATCCATTGTTATATGGCAATCACCAACACTAACATTTTGTATTTTTTCATCTCCAGATATTTCTGAAGTTTTATTGTTAATTATATCCACATGACTTCCAGTTACATTTTCACATGAGTCATTCATATTTGAAATACTGTTCTTACTTTTTTCTTCTTCACTGATATTGCAGTCTTCAACTTTTTCATTACAATTATTTTTAATATCTTCAACCAATTCACAGATTTCCATTGTATGGTCATAATCCTTGTCTATTTCAGATTCAACCTCATCTTTAGTATCTTTAAGTTCCAAGTCTTTTTTGATATCACTTTGATTCACAATAATTTCAACAATTTCTAAAATCTGATTATTTTCAGTTTTGCTGAATTCTTCGCTGCATTTTTTATTAACCACATCTTGCGATTCTTTTGAAAGTAATACATCTTCTTTCAATTTCTCTGTAATATTGTGATCATCCATATTTTCTGTATTTTTTCTACAGAGATAATCTTTTAAGTCGATTTTTTTCCTGTTTTTCTTAACTTGCTCTAGGTTGTTAGATTCTAATGGTATATTTGAATCTACAATTTTAATTTCTTTAGATTTGGCTCTTACAAAACTCATACCAAAATTATCATTTCTTCCATCATAGACAGGACTTCCATAATCTTCAAATCTTGTATCTTCATTAACACTATCAAAAATAGACATGTGTGATGAATTTATCTTATTGTCTCTAGATTTTCTCCTATCATCTTGCCTTGATGAACTAGATTTGCGATCTCGATTGCTATAATCTGTTTGCCTGCTATGTCTACTTCTTGTTGGAGTATTTGATTTTTTTCTCTTAGGTGATACAGATCTGTCATATCTCCTCTTGTCTCTAGATGGTGAATGTCTTCTATCTGTTCTACTCCTATGAGGGGATCTGTGCATTGACCTTTTCAAGTTTTGTTTCTTAGTAGTTTCATTGAATCTCTTGATTCTGTCCATGTCATTATTCTTCGAGTAATCACTATTTTCATGCAGCTGGTTAGTAAACCTTCTATCACTTCTGGTACCTTGTGACCTAAATGGTAAATTCTCTGCCTGCTTCCTCAGCTCCATAATCATTCTGTCCTTTCTTTCAATCTCTCGCTTTGCAGTATTGTATAACTCAGATATATTTGTTGCCAATACATTATTTTTGTCTTGCAATGTCATAATTTCATTATCTGCACTATGTAAGGCCTGCTCCAAGTCATGAATTTTCTTTGACAGCACATAGTTATCATCTTTTAACTAAAAAATAGAAACATAAATGAAAACTAATAATAACATTGACATGTAAATTTACCTTTTGATTGTCAACAGCAATTAATGGCTCATCCAAACCGTCATAAACACAATCGAAATCTTCATCCATTCTTATTTCTCATTAATTATTGAAACTGGATATTAGTTGTAAACAGTTGTAAATAACAAGAAATTTCCCACCAAAATACGTTTTATATTTTGACAGAAGTACTAGGAATGCGGTGAATGCTGGTAAATGCAATGAATTCAAGATGTTCATGGCAATTCACGACATGCATGAATATAGGCACAAAATATTTAAAAAATGTCATAAATTATGATCTAATTTAATTTAAATGAAATGTATTTTGACAGTTTAGTACGTTTAGTAGTTGATTAATGCGAAATTTTAAAGTATTGGGAAATAAATATTATTATGTGTATATGAAATTTTTCTAGCGCCACCTTATGGCAACATCTTGAATTTGGCAAGAATTTTAATATGCATTTGCTAGTTGCAGAATTATTACCAGCGAAACAATTTTGAAGACCTTTAGTAGTGTTTCATGGCCGCTTTAATTAGTAACAAATATATAAGATGGTTTAAATTATAAGAAATATGTTTCGAAAGTTCTTATTTGATTCCGAAAAAGTAAAGACAACTCACAACGTGCATGTATGGTTGTTTCAGCCGGGAAGAATGAGTTTTTTTTTAGTTTCTATTCTGGTTTGGTAATTGCAGATTTACCATTGGCATCTGATTATTTCAATTGGGTTCTTTGTGAATGGTGATGAACAGCATACATTGAAATTGTTTATTTATGATGGAATGTTTGTACGTCTGGGATGGACGGATAGCATAGTTTGCGTGTGCGAGAGAGAAAGCGTGAAGAAGGAGTGTAGAGAGGCAAGCGAGTATGCGAGTTAGTGTACAGGGTAGCACAGAGGAGCGTGAGTGTGTTAGAGAGCGACGCGCTATGAAGTTCACTGCACGTTACAAATACGCAGCTGTACGCGAATAGAACGCAAAAGAAGTGACAAATTCGAGCAAGTCGTGAACTTATTAGTTGTTATTGGTTGTTATAGTTCGAAGCCGATGGCTAATCGAATCCGTTGAGAGAGTACGGAGAGCACAGAAGCAAGCGTGCGTACGCTTGTCTCGTATGTGAGTGTTGTTTTCTTGTTGCTAGTTTGTTGTTGTCGACCGCTTGTTGCATACTCGCTCTTCGTGAGCGAGTGATTGTGTACTCAAAGTGTCTCGCAAGTTTCTCCTCTCCGCGATCGCCGTCAAACGTCTCAATCAACAGGTAAATTTTCACGTTCTTAACTTCTTTTTGTTTTTTTTGCCATCTTTTTATTGCATAGACCGTCTGAATGTCCGTCGACCAGTCGCGTGGAGGCCCGTGAACTTGTGCGCTGGAATTCGCGAATATTTTGCCTTCAATGCCAAAGAGCTTAGGTGTTTGGTAAAGCCACAATCACACACACCAAAGTTTGTTTACCTATATATTTTTGCGAGTGTACGTGAACTACGCACTCATGGGCATTTAAAAACACTACACACATTTCTATTATCTAGCACAACCAAGTCCTCTTCCATATACATGAGAAGCTTTTGTTGTTTATTTACCCGTTAGAAATTATTTACGAAAACAACGAAGTCTCTTTAATTTTTTTGTTTAATTTTCAATGATTATATATTCTTATATATTCAATAATGACATTTCATTCGCATTATTTGTATATGCAGATTTTACCTTTATTCAGTTTTACTACGCCGAATCTTATTTATTACTATTATTTGTTATTGGATTTCAATCAATTGAATTTCTAATTGGATTATTTTTAAATTTTATTTGAAATATTCTCTAGAACTGGTGTAGTTATTGTATTATTTAATAAATAATGTTGGTTGGACTTGTTGCGCGGATTGTACTTGAATCTGGTTTTTGGAATAACATTCTATAATAACGAAGAATTGCCTGAAATTCATGTCAGACTTTGCATTCGAATACCAAATGAAAAAAATACATAACAAAAAATATTTAATCAATTTTTGTTCTGCAAATATTAAAAAGTAGTAATATTTCTACTGTTTAACAAAATTAAACATTCCAATCTACAATATTGTAATTACCAAAAAAATATAGCACGTCTATTATATTTTCAGTCCTCTAAGAAAATGTGTTTAATTATTTACATCAGTAGTTACCTAAATATTTAAACACGAACAAACTTCTAATTGTTGTTAATAATAATTTTTAATTAATAATGACCAACTTTTCGGAATTATTAAGGGGTTTATTCGTTAACTATTGTATATATGTTGTTACTTATATTTGATTTTATTGTCTATTATCTGAATATGCATATTATTTATTTTAAATTTAATAAATGATAATAATTGATAATGGGTTCTTATAAAAGTCTGTTGTGCTAAGAGTAAACAAAACTTCATTTATGTATACACAATAATTTTTTGTACTATTTTTTTTACTGTAACTGTATTTTTATTTTGTTCAATTAAACTTTCACACTGATCGAAGCTGCACTATGTGAAGTATGTTATTTTTTTAAAGTACAC